TGAAAGTGGCCACTTTCATGAGTTAAGTCATATAAGTTTTTACTATTTCTTTTCCATATGGAAAGGTTTCTGTGAACAATAAATGGATCAATTGAGGAGCCAGATGCATCTTTCGGGTCCTGTGTCAGGTCTTTGCTGGATTTTTGTCTGGTTTCCTTAGGTTTTTGAAGGATATGCTGTATGTAGATTCAAATGCAACTTGTTGGTGCAAAAATACTATTTTACATACATCAAACTGTGTTACTGTTGGTATTTTTCATAGATTCAAGTACAGAAATGAAAACAAATGATGTGTTTTTTTGACAGGCTCCCTGGAGATACAATTTAAAATATATTTTGTTCTTTTGTTGTATTTTATGTGTAGACACAACACTCATTCACGCCTCGAGTTAGTTGTCTTTTTATGCTCGAATGATTCACAGGTCAGTGTTAAGTGCTTAACAACAAAAGAGAAGAAGCATTCCTCTGAAAATGGTACATTTCAAGGACTTTACTATTTTGTCAAAGGCAAAGTGACAAGATCAGGGGAAGGATTAAGCTTAACGAGTCCAAAGAAAAGAAATAACTCAGAAATTAAGTAGATAGTAAAGAAGTTTTTTTTTAAGAAATCAGATCCATTCAAACTAAAGTCATTCATTAAACACTTGAAGGCAAAATAATAATAAAACGAGCAGCTACAACATTTACTGAATGAATGAACAACCTGTTATGGTGGTCTTATGGAGCGAGCAAATATTAAATATGAAACCAGTTTTCTGTGGGAAATCCAGAACAATCAGTAATCTCTCCTGAAATACTTGTTTACATAGCAAACACTCACATAGACAACTAAACTGATGAGAATAAACTGCTTCTGTTCATTCATCCACACAAGCCTCATCTTCACCTGGATGTCAGAGTCCTGATAGTGGATCAGGTAGTGCTCACCGTCATAGTCGTAGCACACGGGCGTCCTTTCCAGCTCCGCTGAAACGGGCGAGGTGACACACTTGAAGGGCTTCCTAAATTCATCTAGCAGAGTCAGACTCATAATGCAGCAATTCTACAAGAAGTTGAAAAGTAAATAAGTGCCAGTGTGTATATTTCCTGCCTGCCACATCACTGCTGGGAATTTTATGCTCGTATAGTACCTCCACTGTGCCCTGCAGGGCCTCACAACGCCAGGGCAGGGTGATGTCGCCAGACAGAGATGTGTGCTGGGACAGGTTTGTGCTGCTAATGACTGTTAGCTGGATCAGCCCATCAGAGATCTGAGCTAGACAGACAAAAACACCACGTGTAGACATTTAGACCCAATTTAAGACAGCTAAGCAGTTTAAGTCTACAAGCGCTGTAACCATCAAACACAAATAAACACAAATTTTTTAGTGAATTTAGCTAAATTTTAACAAATTCAGAGGCTGTATCATATCAGTAGATTATTATATATAGCAGTTCTTACACCTAAAGAATGAAAGTTAGACTATGTGGATTAACGCTTTAAAATACTGAATGAAGACTTGAGTAAAGAAAGTGTTTTTGTGTCACTTTTTTCTACAATGATCAACATTTTCTCTGCATTTTTGTTTTGTTGAATAGAATTACTCTTAATGTATAACAATAATGGAAATCCTTAGAGTGATGCAAAGTAGCCTCTAAACTGATTGTATTGTCTGGTGTATGACTAGCTGTTAATAAAAAGTAAGTAAGTAAGCTGAAATATTTCAAACAGCACTTCAGATTCCACATATCCAAGTTTCCTGCCATATAGCTGAGGTTTAATTGGTTTGAAAAAGCAAGCCTGTACGTGTTTGTCACACATGTGAAACAAACTATGGAGGCACATACAAATAGTGCTGTACATGCCTAAATACAAATCGACTGGTCTTAGGAAATAAATACAGTCATAAATTTGCAAACAAAATGGGAGGAAAAAAATCAGAGCAAATGAATTCTTGATATTTAGCACTCTGTTTTGTATCCCTCTTAAAGTTACTATACATGTAAAACATAGCTATACTAGGGGTTTTTTTTTATATTACCCACACAGTACAGAAGATTATTCATATTTCCTTGGCATAACTCACAGTGTTACTTAATGAATGTAGGTACAAAATGTGGGTATGAATGGATTACTTCTGCGGCAGAAGAGCTGGAGAAAGCTTCCGGACATGAGCTCGCATACAGTGTTGTGGAGAACAATGTGTAGCTGGTAACCATGGAGACCGTATTCAGGGTCTATATCACAGAAAGGGGGTTGGACCACCGGCTCCACATAAGAACTGAAAGGGGAGAAAGGGAAAGAGTTGATAAAACCAGAAAGTGAAAACTCTGTCTAGTGTGTGTGTGTGTGTGTGT